GCATCACCATAAAGATTGCTTGCGGATGAAACGTGACCAATCCACTCGTGGATTCATGACAGGAAGATTATGCGTATCGTAATGTCGATGCTCCCACAGATATGTGGTCAAATAAGTGTGGAGAATCAGCAGTAATATCAGTCAGTATTACCACACATCCGGTACTTGGCCAACTAAATAGTAAAAAGTCTTCCGTTCCGCACATAACATTTCAATTTGGACGCGCGTTTCGACAGACGAGACGGTCGGTTGGACGACGCTTTTTGTCAACTTTGTGTCTAATTTGCTTTGCCCTAAAAACAAGACGTTTCTTTTCGCCTCGCTTTCTTCCTCACATCTTTATCCACAATTCTTATACAAATGACATAAAAGTTGAAAAGTGGATTTGCTAAGTACCAAACTAGAGCCAAGGAATTTGCTAGTAACACAGCCGATTGCATTTATTTTGAGCTAAGGACGTATAAAATTGGCAATGTAAAATTGGTCATTAAGTTCTAAGTGCCTATTAAAGCAGTATATAGAGGTAGTATACCATTTATGACTCCTCGAGTGCGATATAAGATTATTTCAGTTTTCTATTTACAATCATCGGAGCGGTTCGACCAATGTACTACGATTAAGTTTTTACTTAGATCCCGACAGCTTCGCACTTGACTTCAATGCTTTCCGCTTGTTGCTCGCCGTGGTTATCTGATAGACTTTTTTCATAGCTTTGTTTTATTTTAAAACGGTTTCGTTTCCCATTTTTGCGATTAGAAATTCGAATTCTTTTCATTTTAAATCATGTAACAAATCTGTGTAGTTTTGTTTCGCAAATTCTCGTAGATAAGTATTTCAATGATAACTTGGACACTGTAGGACGCATATTGGTTTTCTAACTTTTAATTCTGAATGTTTTCCGTTTTTCTGATGTAGTTTAGGTACAGAGACACTTTTTCTTAAACCATTAATTAAATTGCCATTCTCACCTGACTTGTGCTACCTATTATTCGGTATAATGAGCCTTTTTATGTCTGCTCAAATTACATTTCGTTGTATCTATTGTGGCAACGTAAGTACCAGTGTAATGTTGAACCTTAATGTTCTGCTTCCTATTTATTTACCTAACCTACTTTATTTAAGGAACTTCTCTTCTAAGTAGTGTTTGGTTTCAAAAATCAATAGATTGCTGAGAGAGACAACACGTTATTTAAACGAATAAGCTACGCGTTACTTAGACAACCTACTTAAACGATGCAGGTACTGGCTCTAATAAGTCTTCTGTATTCACACTTCCATATATTCAAACCTTTATTTGTCTTTAACAAATAGTGTCACTCGCTTTATAAATTAATTTCTATTGTAAATAGTTTGCATATATGGTGGTACCGTTTGTTGCCTTCGATATCGGAAGCGCTTTACCTACTGCATTAATATGAATTTAAATAAGCTGATTGTCTATATGAACTTGTTATGTATTTGGTAATGTGGTATTATGTAGTCGAGGTTGTCGTCATCATTAGTCAACGATTGCATCAATGTTTATGCCTGATGACCGGTCAAGTCCGTCATATTATTATAATTAGGGCCAGAAATAATATGTCGCCTGCATCAAAATAAATAACCAGCGAATAAATAAACCAACCAGCTTTAATTCTATGAATAAGACTTTTAATTAATGTTTGTTTATTAGTATCTTATGCGTTGCCTTTCAATTCAAGCGATTGCGGCGAAGCTTTGTCAACTGATTGCTTGCACTTACGCGAAGGTTACTGACACCTACGTATTTGTTTCCACCGATAGGTACATCCTAAATTATACTAAGAACAGAAATCCTACCACTATGTAAAATAAAACATAAAAGAAACCGGTCTGCTGACCATAGCCAGTTGGAACACGCAACATTTGTCGTTCCTATTCGTTATACAAAACATCAATTTATTTGTTATGGGATTCTTAAAAGCAAAATGGATTTTGATAAATCGTGGTGAATCGAACAGCCCGTACATAGTCCAACAGCTTTTAGATTGCGTGGCTAGACTTCATCGTGTTTAATTGTTTATTTTTCTGAAGTAAAGTGTTTATTTATAATATTAGCCCAGTTTCTAAGTAGTGTCCTCTACCTATGCCCCCTAATGACTTTCCAATGAGTACTTACCTACTTGTCACTTGTTTAATAGAAGTCCAGAGGTCAGTTTGAGGTCATAGCTTGTCTTTCATCTCATTGGTCTCTATTCATATTCAATCATTTTCTTTAACTTGGGAATTCTATCATTGAAAGCGAAAGTTGTGAATATTTCAAGTAGTTAGTACAAGAAAACAAGTTATCCTTCTATTCAACACAAATCAGCTAAGTTATACTTCTAATGAAAAATTGCAATAGTGATATTTAAATGAGTCATTCAAGTTACAGGGTATTTGACGCATATGTGAGAATGTATGACATTTCGATCCTTCAGCACTCACACAAGAATGCACAACCTAACCGCAGTCATCGATACGACGGACAGTAAACCTGGGCTAACTAGTTTCGCGAAATACTTAACGAACGTTTGTAAACTCACGCCATACCATTCACGATGCATTCTGCAGCTTAAATGGCTGATTGTCTCACTTCCGAACGGAGATCATCCCTATTCCGTCCACTGAATCATTAAGAATCAATTTGCATTCAAAATGCAACCCTCTACCGTTGCGAAAAGGATGCAATTACAACACGTATTATATTTGCTTATGCTTTAAAACATGTATTTTTAAACTATCGCCGGATACGTCCATTTCGCTGGCATTATTGTAGTGTGCTCCTCGTCTGCGTTTATCCTACCACTTAATCAATTACAGCTTACAAGGCCCAGCTTCCCGCTATAGGTTTACCGACCCACATGTCCTGCGTCATCATAATAATGATGACGTCATCCCTGTCGACCTTGTTGAGGGCTTGGGCAGCCAGCATATGTGATGATCTCTTTTCTGTGTTTACACATGTTTTATGCAGTTAAACAGTGTGTCACGGTCACCAACAAATTCTTCCATATATACTGAACAGATCGTTTAGTACATAATATATGTGTACACCGACATAATATTGAGTTTTGATAACAGTAAGCAAGTACTCACGATAGAAAGGATTGTCATTCCGATTCACTTCGATTACCTTCAACTCAGTTTGTCCTTAGTTTAGTTAGATAGAGAATCATAGTCACTAATTGTGCAAAATGTAGAAACCTACTGACACTTGGAGGAGATGTTGTTGTTTAGTTGTAACTAATTCACTTTTTACCGACATAGACAGGAAGTAGTTCTCTCCCCATTAACCTATTGACTATTGACCGTGGTGGTTAATAGGTAGAATTTACAAATATTACGCCGTGAGCATTTTTTACTTTGTCGTCTAGACATTTATCATATGCAGACCATTTAACGTCGGACATTCGGTAGAGAGGCGTATAGAGGCGGTCGAAAGGTTAAATTGATTTCTTTACCTCATTAGTAATGTGACAATCAAATCTTAGTCCGATGGAAACTCTTTGGAAACAGAAACTGAATACGAGGATCTCGAATTGCGACTTATTCATTTGAGACGTAGGTATCGATCACTTTTACTGGGAGCACTATAGTAATTAAACCACGAATTATGTTTCTGTATGGCCGATGATTCGTAAACCCACCTGAGTATCACAATCTCACAACTGAAAGTTCACACTTTACAAGCACTTCACTGACTGGTAGCAGTTCGCACAGCGGCGGTGCGGCCACGCCACTCGGACCTGTGATCGGAGTGAGGCGTTGCGCGCGCGCCGCTTGCGCTCGAGTGGGAGGCGATACTCGCTTATCCTGCAACAGTATGCTGACCAAAAGCAATTACTGACCATACAGATCGTACTTATGTACGTAAACGTTTTTAATTGCTCATATTACATTCGCGGGTCACGTTCGCTACCTCTTCGAATTGATGATTTGTATTGACCTAAGCATTAAATAATATTATAACACTGGTAATAATGAAAATATTCTCCAGATTTGTGTATAAAGCTTCAAGGTTCGAAATATCTTAGTTTGAAGAAGTTTGGTCATAACATGATGTATGAGCCATTGTGTTGTACTATTTCACTTCCGTAGAAATCAATAAACTCAGCACAAATCTTGTAGTTGTGTGATTTATTTGTGAGCATCACAGGTGTTACAGCTTGGAGCCTATATCTACCTACCTACCTACCTATGGCTTTAACCCGCAATGTTCACAAGTGAAACGGCAATCATATTATAGGTATCTAATTCGTTTTTGCGGCTTTTGTTTTTTTTCTGTGGGCGGAGCGGATCGCGATAATTTGTAGGCGTTACTCTTTACCTGTGGTCGCGTCACAAGGTTGTATTACTCACTGTCTTGTATCGAAGCCATTTATGTAAAGTGTAAAAAGCAAGCCTTTAGAGTGGAACGTTCCACAGACTACAAGAGCGATTTTATTGTATATCCTATTTATTTACTTATTAGCTACTTCTGCGCGGTTGCAAACACTCTGCTCGGCTCCTATTGATCGTAGCGTGATGTTTTGTAGCCTATATCCTTCCTCGGTAAATGGACTATTACACATATAACACAAAATCCAACCGAAATCGGACTGGTAGTTTCGGAGATTAGCGCGTTCAAACAAGCAAACAAACTCTTCAGCTTTATATAGTTGTCAGAGTCTAGTCTTAGGCTGGTACATATTTATGTGCATGGGGTATCACGGAGTATGCAAGACTCTGCATCTCCATTCTCCAAAGATCTACTCAATGTTTGAGATATTTGTTTGCAGCTCACACATGTCACAAGACGTTTTGTAGTTGATGTTATTATACAATAAGGACTATCGAATCCGTATTCCGTAGTACCCCTAATAGTAGGCCCAATTCATACCCAAACACTGTAGCTGAAAAATGTACGATTCTATTGCTAATAGGAAAACAAACCTAAGTTTCTACTGACTTCTTTAGAGGATTCGAGGAGAGGATTCACTAATTGCTATTCTTCTTTCCAGGTCCCCAACTGCGCCACAAGATATTATAAATGAAATCTGTTCACATCTTCACACGTTGATATTCGAGACGGTGCCGACACCTATCAGTGCGGGTCGCGACGTGTGCCTGGCGAATGCTATGTACCTGTACTTTATACTGGCGACCCGGTACCACGTCACAGACCTAAGCAGCCTGGTGCATACAGCATTACAGCATAAATCCTACGAAGTCATACTCACGGTGCTAAACTATCTTCTCATACTTCATAAACAATTAGAACCGGACAACAACATGTTCCACGAACATCTCGTGTCAGTAGCAGACCCATCCACTCTAAAAGAAATTAACAATAAGCAATACATCCAACTTCTGTGTGATGTTCTGAAGAGTCACTACATGGAGTGCCGAGAGAAAAGTTTGAAGATCTTAGTACTTGAGGGGAACACACAGCGCGACATCATACAGACTAAAACAGGGGTTACTGTCACTGATGATATGGTTATAGAGAAGTTGATTGACTGCATACAGACGGAATATGAAACCCTGACTCACACATACTTGCAAAGTCTGGTAAACTTTGTATCGGAGAGAATACAGGAGGGGAGTATACATAGTCGAGTGGTGTTGAATGTGGTACGCACCGTGTACGAGTGTAGCTCCGCGGAGAACTGTGAGAGCACTAGGAAGGTAGCTGTCAGCTTCATAGAGAGGAACTACATACTGTTCAAGTTGGATACTAGTCAACTGACTGCCGCTGAACAATGTAAGTGATACGATCTACAATCGTTAACTATTTAAAACTTTTGTTGATACTAATGACTACCTAGCTTCTTCCAATGGTTTCGCCCGCGGTCCCGGTGGATCAAAAGTAGCCTATGTGGTATGCCAGACCATAATCTACCCCTTTTAATATTTCATCACAATCCCTTCAGTCGTTTTGATGTGATTGAGTGACAGACATACATGCTAACACAAATACATAAAATTTAGCATGTATAATATTAGTAAGATACAACTATGACGAATTGTTTTCAGTCGAGCTGCACGCGACGCTATGGGCGACTATAATAACGTTGCTGGAAGACGACGAGGAGGCCATCCGCCAGCGAGTGTCGCGCGCGGTGTACCCGGGCGCGCGCGTCACGTGCAGCCGCGCGGCGCGCATAGTGCAGGACGGTCTGCGCGCGCACTGCGCCGCCGCGGGGGACGGCGCGCTGCTGGCCCTCGTGGCGCTGCTGGACTTCCAGTCCGTCGTCGTCATGGCAGACGACGTCAGCGACGAGGTTACTAGTCTTTTTAATATATAATCATTCCTTATTCATATCTAAATCACATCTAAATACAGACAACGCCTAGTGCCTGTATCTCAGGAGGCAGTACCTTCCCTTTTGTATTTAAACTTTCTCCTTTTTCTTAAATATCTTTTTTACCATGTCCTTTAAAAGTTTCTTTCAAGGAAATATGACTGAGTAAAACATATACTTACAAGCATAATGTTAATTATGTTGGGCTAATTGGATCTCATGTCAACTAGTGCCCACTTAGCATACCATTTAATTTATAATTTCTGTTCACAGTGTCGAGTGTTCGACCAGAATGAGAGGTACAATATATTCCTAGAAGAAAGTATATGGACGATAGCGTGCGCTGATATCATAGTAAATGAACATAAAGTACATAATTCTAAGCTATTGGAGATCATAAACAGGCCAGAATATGAAGGAACTTTCCAGAAACTATGCCAAGACAACGTAGAAATGTATAAGAAAATGGCGACAGGACACAAGTTACCACGAAATGAAGCGCTCAACCCTAAAATACAATTGCTAGTTGATAAGTTAAGTTGATGTGGTACTTCGATACAATATTTGTATTGTATTAGAAAATTGTTAGATATTATTTATATCTTAAGAAATTGTAAATATGTACTATCAACATATCTATCTACATATTTCATAAGAGGTAATTCAGTGTATTTTTTTTTTTCATATTACTTATACCATCAGCCGACAACATCTACATGTTAAAGGTGTTTTGTAAAAAGTCGTTTAAGACAAATTATTCTTACCAGTAGATAGTCAATTATCGTAAAAATGTTATTTAAAATATTTTCATCATTTCTATACAGGACATTTTAAATGTGACAAAAAGTTAATAAAACATAATGTTATTGAGAATTGGTTGTTTGAATCATTAAATATTATTACAGAAGATCCTCGTGCAATATAGAGGTAAGACTGGAATACAGATTTTAGTCTTACTTTTTAATAATAGGGTATTTCAGTGTTGACAGCTCACAAAACATTGGTGACTGAATGTTGCAATAAAAACACAGGAATATAGGGTAAGGCAGTCTCCTTGAATATGTATAATATCTATGATACACTATGAACAAAATACAATATATCTCACACAATTTTGTCTCTCCGTATTCGGAACACTTCGCTAGCTAATGCACTATTTTTAAATTTCAATTTCTGTGGCTTTTTCTCTTTCACAAAACTATCTTTCATCTCTTTCACACTTTTTTCTACTTCCTGAGTAGTCTTAGGTATTAATCTTTCAACTTTACTCTTCACACTGTCTTCTGGAATTCTATCGTCTGTATCGTTAAATAGATCCTTTACTGAGACTAGTCTATGGGAGTTTCCGACACGGAGTAATTTCTTCAGTCCTCGCGTAGTTTTCTTCTCCACAAGGCCGAGCAGGCCCCAGTCGTCTCCCTTCTGCTTGTCCATGCCGGCCTCGAGCTGCCACGCGGCATTCCTCACTTCAGCTTTGAGTCGTTCACATTCTTCGAAGCTGACATTTCTACTAACATTGAGCGCCTGCTCTAGCGGGTTCACGATGTATAAAGGCAAGGAGTTCGGTTTCCTGACAGAAATGCCTTCGTTGATAGATATCGCTTTATCTTGGAAATCGAACTGTGAATAGAACTCGAAGAACTGCAGCAGTAACGTCTGCAGGTTGGCCTTGTTCTGGGCGTAGCACTCCGGCGGCAGCTTGTTCATGTCGCGCAGGAATGTGCAGTTGAGATTCTCTTCTGCTATTCGAATATCTTCTTTACCTGTAATTAGAAATAAAATAATCATATAAAATCTATACTCTGCATGTACTGTACCTACTCATAAGCTTTCCTTTTCAATTCAAATAACCAGATAATTACAATAAACATGCATACTAACCAGCTCTCCTCACAAGATTTTTCAAAGTTGGCAGCACATGTCCGTCGTTAGTTTTCTGCTGTAGAAAGAATAGCACCATCAGTGTCAGAGGGAAGTTGGTGATCCATCGTCCTGGGTGTGGGTTTGTGAGACCCACGGCACGCGCCCAGCGACGCACCGCGAATGTCAACGGACGTACTCTGTCGTCCAGGGAACCGAACAACCAGAGCAACTCTGACATGTACACCCCTGACCTGTAATACGGGAAGAACAGACTAAATATTTTTTTTATTCTTATTTAAAAAGCTTTATGCACACAAACAATTTTCTACCAGTCTGACCCTTGGGTGATGCAGAGAGAGTAATCAGCATAATATAAATAAGCGTAATAATAATAGTAAATAAATGCGCCGCACGATGATAATCGATATCACTATTCCTCATGATGAGAACCTCGTGAAAGCTGAAAAAGATAAACAAATCAAATATCTTGATTTGGCTCACGAGGTTGTCGACATGTGGAATGTAGATTCGGCTATCATTGTGCCGATAGTCGTATCGGCCAATGGGTTAATCCCTAATAGCCTCGACAACCACCCTAGGAGGCTAGCGTTAGGTAGTTGGGTCAAGGGCCTGATACAGAAGGCAGTTCTCCTTGAAACGGCACGTATCGTGAGGAGGTTTCTGTCTCTGGAGCCCTAACCACCGGTAGCTTGGACCATGCTCCCGCTACTGGTCGGCTCCTATTTTTTATATTTTTAAATATTATTTTTGTTTTTGTAAGTAGTTTTTAAAAATGTATTTTATAGAGAATTTAAAATAAATATATGGAAATTCTAATAGTAAATAATGTGCTTTATAAACAATTTCGTTTTAAGTCAACAATTAGAATTAATACAAAATGAAATTAGGTAACATAAGACAAGTTTTGTATTGCTGAATGCGGACATTGGAAATGAATGCGCATCATTTTAGAGCCACCTAGTATGAGGCAAGTATTTTAAATGATGTGAATGAATAGATAGATTGATTTATTTGGCTTGCAATATGGCACTGACATGTTATTGTAGCAGAGATCGCACTCGAGGTCGGTGTAGTGGTGCGCGAACTTGACGATGGGCACGCGCGCGTTGAGTATGCGCTGCACGCGCGCCGCGCCCGCCGCGCGCAGCTCCAGCAGCTCGCCCAGCGCCTGCATGTGCCGCGCCCACGGCGCGCGCCCCCCCTCCACGCGCGCCGACTGGAACACCAGCCGGGACCCCGCCTTCGTCTGCACACACCAATACCGCTGATTAGCTTCAGTTAAGGATTCATTTAAGAAATATCACAAGAAATGGGAATCATCTTCACCTGGAAGATGTAAGGGAAATTCTTATTGTTTGTCTTTTTTTAAAAAATGTTGTCCCCACACTGTAATTTTCTCCTCTATCATGGGTGTGTTCAAAAACACATCATACCCAGACCCAGAACAACATTTTCAAAGACCAGTCAGTTGCCTAACCTGCACCAACCAAATTATTGAAACTTACAAACATACTTCAGACTTGTGATTTGTTCCTGTTAAAATTAATGAAGCATTGCCTCATGAGTCATGATGGCCCGGAGGTTTAAGTTCCCCGCTTCTCGTACATGAGGGTGCGGGTTTGAAACCCACCAACAGCAAGTATCAATGTGACTTTTTCCGAGTTATATGTACTTTCGCTTCATGGGAACAGACACAGGATGCCATTAGAATATTTTGTGAGCTTTCGAAGGCTTTTGACTGTGTTAAGCATGAGACATTATTGCTAAAACTGGAACACTATGGCATTCGACGAGTATCGCTAAATCTATTAAAATCATACCTTCAGAATAGGCAACTCAAAGTACAAATAAACAAAGTAAACTCACAGGGCGCTAGCATATCTATGGGTGTACCGCAGGGCTCGATACTAGGCCCATTCTTATTTTTAACATATGAACAAATAAACCGCAGATAGTATTATTTGCTGATGACACTTTTATTACTTTTTATAATGTAAATAATGCCCTAATGAAGGTTCAAAATTGGTTTAAAATAAATTACTTAGTACTTAGTACTAAGTAAACTAAACTATAAAAAGACAAAATTTGCTTTACCAAACTTTAAAAGCAGCGAATGTGATATGTCACATTCGCTGCTTTTAAAGTTTATTGAAATTTATTGAAATTAATAATAATAATAATAAGCCCCCTCAAATCTAACCACACGGCCCGATCGAACATCAGATCACGTGGGGGGCGGGCAACGCATAATTAATATTACTGGGCGGCTAACGTGGCAATAGTAACCCATCGACGAAATGGAGACGAGAGCTAAAAGAAAATTACGTATAGGACCGCTTCCCGGGGGCGATCGCCGGGGCACGCCTGGAGCCGATGCTGGGCGTTCCAGCATACGAACCATCGGTGGTAGTGAGTTGAGTCAGCGGGCTCCTACCGGGTCACCCGAACAAGTCACAAGCAGACCATCATCCTCAATTTCCCTGTTTCCCTCACTCCCTTCTTCTCCTGTCTCCTGTCTAAACTACAACAATGATTATTCCTCAATTTCTTCACATTCTTCTACTAACTCTGCAGCCATGGATGTTGTGCAGGAGGCAGTAGCCAACAATCCTGCACCCACCACTGGTCAAGTTCGCGCGCGAATGAGATGGACATCAGAGATGAACGAGTTCATCTGGCGCACCTACCTTTTTGTCACAAATCTAGATACAAAAATCCGCGGTTATTTAGACCCCCTTCACGCCAAATTCTCTGACAGATTTCCAGAAATGATAGTTTCGAAACAACGACTCGGTGATCAGAAACGTGCCATTCTTAGAAACAAATTGCTTCCTGAAACCACGTTAGAGCTCATTAAAAACGAAGTACAGATTGAACTCCAAAGCAGTAACAATAATCATAACACAATAATTTCCACACACACTTTAACATCCGGTTTGCAACAACCAACCAATACAAGTACTCGTTTAAAATGGACCGAGGATATTAATGAAGCTATTATTAAGGAGTACTACAAAATAACCCATATTGAAACCAATAGAACTGCCTACAGAAAGCAACTACATACTACCATTACACAACAATTCCCTGTCATAGCACATGTCTCCGAACAGCGTATTGCTGACCAACGCAGAGTAATCCTTAATAATAGACTCATATCAGATGACAGACTAGAGGAAATAAAAAGAGAAGTAAGAAGTAGTCTTAGCACACAGTTAATACAGAACACTCCACATGACAACATATTAGCCAACGTTACAGATGTAAACACCTCAAACTCTATTTGTGAGTTTAATCAAATCGACTTCCAAAATAGCATAGTAGATAATACAGATACAGGTCCAATAACATTGCAGGCTGAAATTACTAATATATCAGTTGATGAGACACTAGATACAAAAATAGAGAAGAACTTCGAAGAAATTTACCACACTTTCTTATCCACAGACCCTACTAATAGACCATTTATACCAAAACAAAAAACATCAAAAAGATTTGCGCACATAATTTCTTATTTAAACAACACAGTATTACCAAAATACAGCTCTGAAGAAGACGATTTTCTTAAAACTCACATGCTCGTGTATTGTGCGGCCTACACTGCCGCCCTATGTAATGGCTCTAAATTCAAAGAACGTAGCAACCAAAATTCATCTACTACGCAACACAACGATACACCACTTATTACACAGCACAACCAAACATCATCTACTACACAACACACCCAAACATCATCTGCTACACAACAAATCGGTAACATAAGAGATAAGAGACCAAACTGGTTAAGACGAATAGACCAAAAGATACTCATAATCCGTAAAGAAATAGGCAGAATGACTCAATACATCAACGGCAACAGACATTTAAAACTAATTGCACACATCGAAAAAATTAAACATAAATACAAAACACATTCTAGCTACGAAGAACCAAACACAACGAATGAGCAATTCATGGATAGTCTAAAGCAAAAACTTACAGCTATAACAAGTAGGCGGCGTAGGTACTTTTATTGTACTAAACGAAAAGACCAGAACTCTCAATTTACAAACAACGAAAGGCAATTTTATAGGGCCTTAACTACCGACACAACACATACACAAAATAGGCAGCAAGCAACAGAAACACCACACCCCAACTCTGAACAGCTACACAGTTACTGGTCGAATATTTGGTCAAAAACATCTGATTACAATCATACTGCCGAATGGATTCAACACGATAAAGAGAAATTAGAACAGCTGCCACAAATGTCATTTGATGCTATTCCGCTTGAGGTGTTTATTAACGTCATCCAAAAAGCACATAACTGGAAGTCTCCTGGCACAGATCACATTCATAACTACTACTATAAGAAACTCACTTCCCTACATCCGTCTATCTATAAGCATATCAACGACTTCATAAAAAATCCCCACAATATACCAGACTTTATTACACAAGGCCTAACATATATGATTCCAAAAGATTCCGACCACATGAACCCAGCCAAATATAGGCCCATAACTTGCCTACAAACAATTTATAAATTGACAACCGGGTGCATTTCAGAAATCATTTACAAACACGTATCACAAAATAAGATTCTGGCCGAAGAACAAAAAGGATGCCGTAAATACAGTCAGGGGTGCAAAGAACAGCTGACAATAGATCTAATAGCCATGAAACATAATGCTAAACAGAAAAACGACATTTTCACAATGTATATTGATTACCAAAAGGCCTTTGACTCAGTCCCCCATAGCTGGTTACTATAATTAGACCATTATAAAATTCACCCAGATTTAATTAAATTTTTAACCGAATCCATGAAACATTGGAGCACTAAAATAAAATTAGGAAAATTGGTGCAAACGGATCTGATAGCCATTAAACGGGGTATATTCCAAGGCGATGCCCTGAGTCCTCTTTGGTTTTGCCTTGCTTTGAACCCTCTTTCCAATCTTCTTAATTCTTCTGACTGCGGTCTCTCTCTTAAAGATAATAGCACCGGACAAAATTTAAATTTAACCCACTTGATGTTCATGGATGACATAAAACTCTACAGTAATAGTATATCAGGACTTTCCTCACTTGCAGACCTCACTCAAACCTTTTCAGACGACATAAAAATGACTTTTGGCATTGATAAGTGCAAAACATTCACCCTATTAAAAGGACAACACATCGAAAGCAACCCGTACACTCTGGAATCTGGTGAAATAGTAGAATCAATGACACAAAATTGCAGCTACAAATATTTAGGATTTGAACAAACTTATCAAATAGACAAAAAGTGCACTAAAAGTAAGATAACCACTAAGTATAAACACCGACTCAATATGCTTGTAAGATCACAATTAACATCCCGTAACCTATTCAAATCTATAAACTCATTTGCCATCCCTATACTCACATACTCTTTTGGAATTATAAACTGGTCAAAAACCGATCTAACGAAATTACAGCGGTCCATCAATACATCTTTGACCATAAACAGAAAGCACCACCCACGATCCTGTGTGCAAAGACTCACGTTACCGAGAGAAGATGGAGGACGGGGTCTTATTGACATCGAAAACCTTCACAACCAGCAGATTGCCAACTTGAGAAAATATTTCTTCCATAAAGCTCAACAATCCCCCCTTCACAAACTCATTTCATATTTGGATAAAAATTACACCCCACTGAATTTGCACTCTTCTGACCCACAACGTAATGAGCGTATAACCACCAAGTCAGACAAAATTGTAGCTTGGGAACGTAAATCCCTCCATGGAAGACATCGCCTCGACCTACAGCAACCTCATGTCGATATCAAAGCATCGAACGCGTGGCTGAGGCGAGGCGAACTCTTCCCTGAAACGGAGGGATTTATGATTGCCATACAGGACCAGGTCATTGACACCGCTAATTACCAAAAATACATAATCCGCAGACCGAACTACAATGACAGTTGCAGGCGATGCCATGGTGCTCCGGAGACAATCCAGCACATCACTGGTGCCTGCAGAGCAATAGCCCAAACTGACTACAAGCACCGTCACGACCAAGTAGCCGCGATAATCCACCAATCCCTTGCCATCAAAACAAAACTTATTACAGATAGAGTCCCATACTATAAATACAAACCAAATACAGTACTCGAAAATGAGAATTTCAAATTATATTGGGACAGAACTATTATAACAGATAAGACAATATATAATAACAGGCCAGACATTACATTTTTAGATAAACATAATAGAATAGTATATATAATAGATATAGCTATATGCAATACACACAATCTTGTTAGCACACATACAGAAAAAATCGCAAAATACACCGATTTATCTATTGAAATTAAAACACAGTGGAACGTTACCCAGACTAAAACCATCCCCATAGTATTATCCAGCACAGGAGTCATTCCAAAAACTCTTCACAATAGCCTGAACTCATTAAATATTAGCCCATCAACTTATCTCCTTTTACAAAAAGCCGTTATTCTGAATACATGCCGTCTTACCCGCAAGTTTTTAAATACCTAAGTATAGCACTTCTAGCACTTGGCTTCGGCCCGTGCCTATTTTAACCCCACTCGATGGGAGAAATGCAGAGCATAAAAGGAAATAATAATAATAATAATCTTTATTGTACACCTTAAATTAATAGAATATACATGTAATGTTATAATAAAGAATAGTAGGGTACAAAGGCGGCCTTATCACTAAAAGCGATCTCTACCAGGCAACCTTTGGGTGAATGGAGTACTATTGTATGAAAGTGGAGGTTGTTCTAGGTGTACTCAGGTATCTACTTATAAATTATATATACAAGTAAAATATATATTCTCTAAATAAAATAATATATATTTACATACAACATATATAATATATACCTAAAACTATATATATACATGCATAAATACATAAATAAAATATAGTATGAACAATGAATAGACAACAGTAAAGAAAAAACAAAGAGAGAAAAGAAATAGTAATGGTAAATTACAACGTGGAGAGATAATGCTTTTTCACGAGTGCTTTGAATGCAACAAGTGACTCTGCCTGTCTTATAGAAAGTGGCAGAGCATTCCACAGTCGAACAGCTCGAACTGTAAAAGATCTGTCAAATGATCTGCTCGCATGCTGGGGCATTTCAAGCTTCATGTCCTCCGATGACCGTACTGGTCTAGAATGTGTGTCATGGAAGAACTGGAAACGTTCTTTGAGATAATGAGGGGTAGTAGGATTGAACAGCGTACTGTAGAGTAAAGATAAGATATGAGTATCCCGGCGAAGGCGGATCGGCAGCCACTTAAGCTTAGCACGATATTCGGAAATGTGGTCATATTTGCGTAAACCAAATATAAACCTTATACTGAAATTTTGGAGTCGCTCAAGTTTGTCCAACTGCACTTCGGTGAGATCCGGATAGCTGACGTCAGCATAATCGAGGATGGGAAGGAGAAGTGATTGAGTTTATTGAATGCTGAAAAATTAGAATTTGTATAAGCAACTACTTTCCTAATACTGTACTGAGACTAATTACTGTAGACGACAAATTGCAATGGGGTCCTCACTTTACATCTTTGGCGGGATGATTGAGATCTGCAGCTTATGCTGTCTGGAAGATCCGACAGTTGACCGACATAGGCACGGCAAGACTAGTGTACTTCAGTTATTTTCATAGCATTATGTCGTATGGCATTCTGCTGTGGGGACACGCTGCTGACATTGAGTCTATCTTTATCTTACAAAAGCGCGCCGTCAGAGCTATCTACAACCTAAGTCGCCGCGAATCTCTCAGAGAAAGGTTTAATGAGATCATCATTACGATCGTTCCATGTCAATTTATTTATGAAAAACCTACAGCTATTCGATAAAGTTTTGGACAGACACCACTATCAAACTAGACATAAGAATAGATGAAGTCAGCCAACTTTTAGAATGGCGATAATAAATAAGTTGTTCATGGGATTCTTTATTAAATGTTATAATAAGATACAGAACGAAACGAAATTAAATTATGTATACAAAATCTTTTGAGTATGTGTTGTGTGTGTAAATTTATATGACAGGAGAAAAGCCTAGTGTGGGGCAACATCTTTTTTTAGAAAAAAAACTTTATGTAAACACAAGCTTATTACAAACTTAATTATGCTTATGATGCAGCCTGGTCCAGCTCCACAGGATAACGAAAAACATTGATGTTTCAATGAAATCTAAACATATAAATATTACAGCCTTGTTGTTTTTTTTTTTTTTTTTTTTTTTAAGGGGGGAAAATCATCGAATGACTGCTCCCGCCTGGGTGAGGCGGGAGGGAGTGTCAGACTCTTACTGACTAAAAACCACCCCGTTCCTTCTCCTGCACGTCGAGCCGGAGCCCCGGTTACCCGTTAGGTTCTCCGCGACTCCGAATAGCCTTGTTGTTTAACTTGCATTCATTGTAAATGTGAGAGCCCTGTAATTAACTTATTATTAAATTAGACTAGCAGAATGCATTTGTGTAAGCTTGGAGTTGTCATGATCACTCAAAGATCACAATGGCCGTGGCGCATGCAGTGAATCACTCGATTCCCTACAATATGGTTGAGTTGGGCGGTGCTGGTGTACTTGTCATGTTCGTGAATGGGCACTGTCAACTGGGACTAGTCAGTTCCAAACTGCATTTATTTGTAGTCCTTAAGGTTATTTTCATTTTCGATCTCTTTGACTGGATTTTGGTGTTACATTGTTCTCGCACAATCGAACCAATAAAACTATGTAACTAGAAAATTGTATTGTAAATCTGATTGAAAAAGAGTAACCTATGGAGTTTCTTGCTCGTTCTTCTCCATAGGAATCTAGGAAGTAATCCTTGGAATGAGCAAATAGCTTCAAATCCTTTTTTTTTATTGTTAACATTCAAATTGCCAACCCACATTGAGAAGGCATAGCGGTTGATACTTAATCCTTCTCCATGTGAGAAGAGGCCTTTGGTCAGCAGTGGCCACTTATACGCTGTTAATGTTGTTGTTGTTTGCCTCGTGTAATTAAAAATTATTTACAAAACTGAATATTTAAATGAAATCAATAATAAAATGTTCAAGGAGTGCTTACCATTTCATCAGTTAGTGTATTGGTCAAAACAAGGTCCAAATCACATCCCATTTTTCCAAAACCATTGATGGATGAGCCAAATGGTCTCACAGCTACATTTGCGTAGAGGCTTTCTAGCATACATTCAATCTAAAACAATGAACAAGATAGATAGATTTATTTTAACATAACATCACGCCTTTTTTACCTCGAAGGGGTTAGGCAGAGGTGCACATTTCATTACTTAATGCCACTGTACAATGTAACACCCACTTTTCACTATTTATGTTATGAGTCCCATGTAATAGGGGGTGAGCCTATTGCAATATACCGGGCACATTTCCAGCTTCCGTCCTAGTACTGAGATTTTTAAAAACCCAGTAATACTTTGCCCGACCCGGGAATCGAATCCGAGACCCCTTGCCCGGCAGTCGCACTTACGACCACTCGGCCAACGAGGCAGATTTATTTATTTTTTTGATATTTGATGGTCGTTGTTTGTACCACTGTCTTGCCTGGGGGGAAGCGATGATGCGGCCTATGATCGAGCATGTCTGTCCATAAGTAACTTGTACACTCGGGCCTTGAAGACAGAATAATAGTTAAAATGGTAATTTACCTGCCTAGCCACCATATACCTCAGCCGGACCCCCAAATCATTCAGCCTAGTTCTGTCATACAACAACTGTATTTGATCTGATACAGTTTCACAATCCACTAGCTCCTTGAACAGTTTGTCCTCATTCACTTGTTCAATTCCATTAATAGATGCCAGCACTGTGGTGGGGGTTGCATAGCTTTCAGTTTTCCCATTAGCTGTACGAAACCATAGGAACGGGGAGTTATTTGCCATTGTGTCCAGGTCTTTCTGATGTGTACTGCATGACCGTAATACATCCTGTAAGCTTTCCTCCGACCCAAATTCAATAAGCATGAAGTGCTAAAAATAATAAATTCTTGAAATAGACAATGACTATATGTTTAAAGATTAATTCATAATTTAACAAGATCGCAAAAATACCTCGTCGTTATTATTTTTGTAGTGATGCACATCTTTGATGGTAGCATACTTTGAGCAGTAACCGTATAGTTCCTTGAACGAAGCCTGCGAATTGACTTGTACAACGATACTCCGTTTAGCTTCACTTCTCCTCTGGGACACAATTTCATCAAATGACACAAATTTCTTTTCACTGCCTAGAACAAATACATAACCTCTAAGTTACCTTCATAACAACTACTAATTAAAATGGTCAGCAACCAGTTACCTGAATATTTACGAAAAAAGACACATCTACATGTAGATTGGGTGGAGTTTAATAATTTCTTGAATAAATTTTTCCTTCCTTTATTTATAAAACTTCGGAATAATACAGACATTTTTAACTTAGACCGCCGTCCACCATCTGTCAAAATTATCAAATGTCAATCTGTTATATCTCATCTATGTCGTCAGAATTGGATACGAGGATTTTCATAAAAAAGAGCTATTCAACAGTAGCAACTTATCTAAAAAAAGATTTTGTTAGTTTCCCACTTTGTTTCTATTTTTATAGGATTTTAAGATAATTTTTATATGCTTTTACTTACAATAACGTAGATTATAAAATTCTTTTCCTTATGCTATCATTATCAGCTGTCTTCTGCCAATAAGATATTGTCATTGTCAGTCAGTTGTATTACAAAAGTTGAGGTTATCTTTACTCTTATTGTTTGTAGTGTGCACTTTATTTATAGATTCTGTCGTTCTTGCTTTTAAACGAAATAAGCAAACAACTTACCTACTAAGTATAAATGAACAATGGGTACTAGGATATTACAAAGAATAATTATTCCTGCAGTGAACTGCTTAAGAACCAATCATCATAATGTTTTAAGTCATAACGAAAGAGCAATTTACGCAAATGTGACAAATTTTACAGTAGTAAGAAATTATGCTAAGAACAAAGATAAAGGGAAGGACAAGAAGGGTAAAGGAGGTAAAGTAGAGGTTAACGTTGCGGCAATATCCGAGGTTGTGCCAGTGGATAAGATGAAAGAAAGGTGTAATGCAGCTATCGAGAGAATGAAGGCAGATTTTGCCAAGAATTTATCTTTGCGTTCTACCACAGGCTCTATGGAATCATTGAGGGTGAAATTTGAAGGCAAAGATTATGAATTACAGGAACTTGCTCAGATTGTCCGCAAAAATCCTAAAACTATAGTAATCAACTTTGCTTCCTTTCCTCAAGCTATACCAAATGCATTAAAGGCCTTACAAAGCTCTGGCCTCAATTTGAATCCTCAGCAAGATGGCACCACATTGTATGTTCCAGTACCTAAAGTCACAAAAGAACACCGAGAGGCACTGGCAAAGAATGCCAAGGCGCTGTACATAAAATGTAGAGATTCAGTAAAGGATGTTCAAGCAGACTTTATTAAAAAAGTTAAAAAACAAAGCAGTGTATCTGAAGATGTAGCATTTAATGTATCTAAGCAAATCAATGCAATTTGTGAAGAATATCAGAATGAAGCTAAGCACATTTATGATGTGAAACATAATGAATTAGTAGGAAATTAGAAAAACATACTCCAACAAGAAACTCCATTTAAAATGAGTCTTGTTAGCATTTAAATCTAATGGTTGTTAGAAATGATTTGAAAATAAATAAACTAAATATAATTTGTGTATTATTTACAACTATACTGACATGGGAGATGATGGATATGGGGAAGGCGTTTTTATTATTATTTTGTTTAAGGGGGAGGCCTTTGTCCTGCAGTGGACGTCTTTCGGTTGTTGATACTGATGATTATGCTGACATGAATAAAAGCAACAGAAACGGAGGGTCCTATAATGACATTTATTGTATTACAACATATCAATAAATTATTATAAATATTTTACACAATAAACACAAATGCAATAAATCACTTTTGCTTAGGATTTGTAAAGTATCATTCATTTCGTATCAGCTCTACTCAGAATTAATTAAAAAATATTTTGATGGGAATAAAAACATTGATTTGTTTTCGTGAAAAAACCAACAGCACCTCTGATTCCCTTAAACTTATATTATTATACTCTTTGACCTCTGATAATAGTTCTCAATAACAAACGACAGTGATGATCACCGAAATATTGAAGATCAAATATTTGCAGTTTAATTTCAGAAATGAAAACAGTGTTGAAAATACTAGTATCCCACTACGGATTTTCGTCTGACATATACATTTAAAAGATTAAAACGTCATTTAAAAAACAACTGTCAAAAGTGTCAAACTTGTTTGCAAAACAACGAGATTACAAAGTCCCGGCATAATTTTAAAAATAATGGATTCTGCTCTCAGAAATCGCAAAAAAAGATATGAAAGAGTGATGTCTCGCGTTCATAGTCAATCACAATCTAGTGTAAAATTAAGTTCAACTGTGACACGCCATGATATACCATCATCTGTAAGAGTTGGCGCGAAAACAACTGGATCTAATGTGAGCTCAGGAATCTTTAATGAACTTCCAACTTACTTGGACGACTACGAACCAGAATCAAGTCGTCAGAAAGTTAAACGTACATATGTGGTGAAGCCTCGTAAGACTATCACGTCAATGAACCTGGCAGACTGCCCGCCTCGTGTGGCCTCTAACATCACTAAGGCGAGGGAATCAAGCAAAAAGTCTTCGACTTTCCAGGTCCAGGAATCTGCTCCTTCCGTTTTAGAAAGCAATGAAGAAAAGTGGTCCAATACACATTTGAGAGAGTGTTTCTCCAGCAGATCCCATACGCAATTGAAGGATTTAAAGGTAGTTGTTAAACACTTCTTCTTATATTATTTTTTTTGTAAAGTAGATAACAAAATAATGTAGATACACATCTAGGTTTAATATATATGTACCTAATTGAATGAGTTGAGATGAGATTACAAATTCAACTCCAAAGCACATAGCTATGACTGTGGCAGCTAGAATGTTCCTTTGAATTTTTAAAAATTGTCTCAATAGTTATTACATTTTGTTATTGTTCCAGGATGAAATAAAAGCTTTCAAAGAGACTGAGAAGTTGATGAGACTGCGAAGTAGTTTGTTTAAGAAGTGCGGTGTAGTGTTGGACGATGTAGGGAATATGGTGGAAGACAAGGCTGTGCAGGCACAACTTGAACCAGCTGCAGATGATGGTGAGTCACCTAATATTCTCTTAAGAAATGTATGGCAACATATAATAATAATCCTTTCTCCTGCCGACGGTTTCTTGACTAATGGTATCTATCATGGGCTGATTGTATGATATATAGGCCCTTGAACTCAGCCCCTGTTACAAGGGACTCATAACATAATTAGGTAATGGTTGCTTTTTACTACACAAAATAATATGACAAAGGCCATATTACTGCCATCATTCACTGTGTTTCTTCATCTTACAGAAGTTATCATATTTATTGTGAATAAATTAGAATGATGTGTTGATTTTAAAATTAGTAAGTAGGTAATGGTTTGAAGTATGTGTATAATAATATGTTGTCCTTCTCCCTTGTTATCTAACATAGAACAGGTGTTTTGTTATTTTATGTTTTGTTTTTTTAAAGAATTTAATAAATAGATAACTTTACTGACTAGGCTGATGTTTCTAAAATTAGGAGGTCAATGCTTTTTCTGTAAATGGGCCACAATGAGAAAATGCCCAAAAGGGTTGTGCACCAGTAATACCATCTACATTAAACTGTCAAACACCAAGCGGTCACCGGTGACCGCAACCTATTGTTCTTTAATTGTGTCTATAAAACCGGTACTCGACGAGTTAAACTGTGTCTTTGCTTAGAAGCTAGTTACTACATGCGCAATGTTCAAATTCTATAGGCATTCTCTCTCATAGTTTTTTCCAATGTTCATTTTGATTTTTGGATTATTTTTATTTAAATTTGTTGAAATATTTTGAAGTCTGCTTTGCCTTTTGAATTTTTATTTCTCAGCGCCATCTATCAGAGTTAATCGTAAATACAAATCTAGGTACTCTTAAAACAACAAGTAATTGAATCCATGTACGGAATGATAATGAATTTCTGTAAATGGGTCACAATGAGGAAATGCCCAAAAGGGTCATGTAGTTACCAGCAACGCCATCTACATTGAACTGTGGTGTTGCTAGTTCCTATACTTATGACTAGATGGCGCTCTGTACCAAAAGTAAGTGTTCAGTAACTTGTACTTAATGATGAAACACATATATTTTGTAATCGTGTTAAAGATTTGGCCATACACGAGCAAATAATTTTATCCATATTAGTACCAAACATTAATATTGATTTTTTTTAAGACGTCAAGCAAGTATTGCAACATTTCACACTTTGTATAACAAGCCGAAATAGCTCAGTTGGGAGAGCGTTAGACTGAAGATCTAAAGGTCCCTGGTTCGATCCCGGGTTTCGGCAATTATTTTTGCTAAAAATATTTTTACGTTTATTTATTTGTTGCAGACACTGGACAGGAGGAGAATAGGTAAGTCGAAATAAGTTATTTGGCTAAATAGTCTAAGTTATTTATTGCAATTTTGGTGCTTCACTTACCTTTCTTCTTGTTTTACCTACTTTGGGTAAGTAACACACAAAACGAACCCCTTTTTACTCAACTGAGTTAAAGCAAAAAAGAGGGTTGGTAAGTGATATTGTCCCTTGATTTCAAACACATGATTTCCAACTAACTTTAACATTATGTGTAATCATCGGTACGTGTACAATATAATGCGCATTATATTTAGATTGTTTACTTTATTCGTATTTAGCGTTAAAGTTTTGTATTTCCAAGAAAAAAAAATCAATAAACTTTGCTTCAAAGCCTCGCATAACGGGGTCTGGAATTTCGCAATTTTCCGCATCGCCTCTTTAGCTCAGTGGTAGAGCACTGGTCTCGTAAACCAGGGGTCGTGAGTTCAATCCTCACAGGAGGCATCGAACTAAATGCTCTTTTTGTATTTTATTATCATTTGTCACAACATTTTGATAACTTTTACTTATTTTGATAAATTGATTAGTCCTAGTTCCGTTGCGAAAGTTCTAAATTAATGTATATTTACATACATCCGACAGTTTATTATAAAAAAATAATAATTAGCAATATGAAATTTAAAAAAATATGGTGACATAAAAGTGCCAGCGATTACTAAACGCATAATAAAAGAAAATGGCGATCGATATCAAAGACAATCTATCCTTGGACTATGATTTATTAAAGTTGTTGTTTTTTTGAAAATAAATCGATGTATATTTTTGTCATCGTCTTCATCACACATCATTCAACTTACCCTGTTCCTTTTAAATGTGTCTGATTTAAGACCTCTATTGAATGTTAAAATATCATTCATCGTTATTCCTTTGTTTACCTGTCTAAACTTTGAAAGCCCTTGTCCACTTAATATGTGAAAACTTTCATACTATACCGATTTTTTATCCACTTCGCGTCTCCGCTACCCGCAATCACTCTATCTATACTATACAGGCGTCCACCGACGGGTCATATGGATTTGTAAATACACATTTGATAGAGACTTCAATTCCCTCTTTTTTTTGACGTCGGTTTATTAGGTAATATACTAAAACAAACCAACATATGCAGGTTAAACGAAGGAACTCCTATTTTTGAAGTCGTTTAAAAAAACAAGTACCTTCTTAAGTTCTGTTTAGCCTGAACGCAATCGCTCTATTACCAGTGTTGTTTAACTAAGTTATTTAAGATAACCTTCACAATCAACTGGAGGAAATGAAATCCATTCGTAAAAATGTGTGCAAAGCCTTCGTGTACGCACCCAAGTACATTTACAATGGTAATGATGGCGAGTGGCTGGAGTCGAGGAGAATATCAATAAACGCTTTGCAACGCGTTCACGTAGCTAGCTGGTAGCTGGTCGATAGCTCGCCCCCTGCCCTGACAATTAATGCAGGCTACTGCGTCCCCCTCCCTGGTTACGACAGTTTTGCTTTGTATTACTAGCGTTTCTGAAGTCATTTCTTCTGTAGGTTTTAAGACGTAAGAGGACGAGTACTAAACATTCTGGAATGAATTCTAGCTGACGAATTGTTTTCTGGACCATTTTATAGTTAGCATACCCACGGTTGGTGTGGTGGTATTGTGTTGGCAATTTACTTTATCAACAATTACGAAATGAAATTCCTAGGAGAAATTATGTTCGCTAACGCAAGAACAATTTAAAAAATATTATAATTACGAAGTACTGCCGATCATATGATGGTGAATATTCGCCACCACCGTGTCTAATCTGTGAAGCAAAGAAAATGACCGTAGATAATTTGCGAGGAAGTTAAAATCACATTTCACCAACATCACGTTGCGATGATGCAATGTGCGATATCGTTGGAATGCAATTAAACGTGGCGATGTGACGAATGCCTTATCGCGCGGCCTTGACAATGACATTGCACGAGCAGAGGCAAAAGCAAGCGTTCCGCCGCCGGTAACTCACTATAGCCACTTACCTAATCATCTATTGTATGTGACCACTTCAAGGCACATAATACATTTTTATGGAAATACATCGAATGCTATTATGCTGTTTATTCCGATAATATATCAAG